CAGTAACTGAAGTTGGCAATGATGTGGCAGCAGTAACTGAAGTTGGTAATGATGTGGAGGCATAAACTAAAGTTGGCAATGATGTGGAGGCAGAAACTGGAGTGGGTAATGAGGTGGAGGCATAAACTAAATTTGGCAATGATGTGGAGGCAGTAACTGAAGTTGGCAATGATGTGGAGGCAGTAACTGAAGTTGGTAATGATGTGGAGGCAGTAACTGAAGTTGGCAATGATGTGGAGGCAGTAACTGAAGTTGGCAATGATGTGGAGGCAGTAACTGAAGTTGGCAATGATGTTGATGCAGTAACTGAAGTTGGAAATGATGTGGCGGCAGTAACTGAAGTTGGCAATGATGTGGAGGCAGTAACTGAAGTTGGCAATGATGTGGATGCAGTAACTGAAGTTGGCAATGATGTGGCAGCAGTAACTAAAGTTGGTAGTGATGTGGAGGCATAAACTAAAGTTGGCAATGATGTGGAGGCAATAATTGGACATTGGCGATGATGTGGAGGCAGTAACTGAAGTTGGAAATGATGTGGAGGCAGAAACTGGAGTGGGTAATGAGGTGGAGGCATAAACTAAATTTGGCAATGATGTGGAGGCAGTAACTGAAGTTGGCAATGATGTGGAGGCAGTAACTGAAGTTGGCAATGATGTGGAGGCAGTAACTGAAGTTGGAAATGATGTGGCGGCAGTAACTGAAGTTGGCAATGATGTGGATGCAGTAACTGAAGTTGGCAATGATGTGGCAGCAGTAACTGAAGTTGGTAATGATGTGGAGGCATAAACTAAAGTTGGCAGTAATTGAAAAGGTGACAATGGATTTGGTAGCCGTGCATGTAAACAAGTGCTTGATATTGGTAATGATGTAGTTGCAATAAAATATTTTTGTATCTTGAAAATAATGATATTATAGGTTGCCATATACAATAAATGTCAATGCTGAAATTCATTTCTCCAGTAAAATTAAATCAATTACCACAAAACAAATATATACACACCAAAACTACTTTTTGTAAACGTCAAATTACATAGATTACAATAAAAAACATTCTATCTAGAATATACAGAAGGAAAATGATAATCTCTTGTGTATTTTAATATATCTTATACATCAGGGGCCAGATTTATCAAACTAGAAATCAGATTAAATTCGTCTTAGGTCCATTTTTTTGCTTAAGTCAAATTTATCCATATTGCTTAGCTTATAAATTGCATAAAATTAGGAAGTCGATTGTATGTTGGCGCCATCTAAGATGATTTTTAATCCAAGATTTTGCTAATATTGAGTAATAAATCAGCTTAAGATATTTATTAGGGACAACTTAACTTTTTTTACTTAAGACATTTGCTAAGCTGAGATTGATAAATACCGGGCCAGAAGCTTAACGAGATTTCATCCATAATTATACAATTGAGTTGGTAGTAGTAAGAACCGGTTATCAAACCAAAAAAACATTCCGTAAAGAAGTTTCCAATCATGATAATCAATGTGCACTAATAAAATTATTGAAGGAAAATGTTTAAAAATAGTTTTACTGAATGTTATAATGAAACATAAAATAAACAACCCTAATGAATAAGAAGACATCAGCAAATTCAGCTTAGCTACAAGCTGCCAATTATGCAAGAACAGCACAGCAGAATACGTACAGTACTTTTGTTATAAGAGGTCAAAAGAGCAAATCAATTAAAATTAACAGAAGTCACATCAGAGTGAGCTGTTACAGAAACTTCTGAGGCTGGTACCTGAGCTAAGTCTTCTCATGTGCAAAATCCAATCCACTTCATAAGCCTCATCATTTATAATTTATAGAATATTACAGGGTATATTTCCCTTCTGTGGGTAGTTATTAATAGAGATTTTGTAAGAAAGTGAGGGCTAATAACTATGCAAGGGAGCAAATATTATCTGTCTACAAGTATGCCACAAAATGCCTGTTACAATTATACAACATGATGAATAAAAAGTACAGCCGTGTTCATTTAAACTGTATAGAACAATATAAAGTAAATAACAGCAGCACTTTTGAGACCAACAATATAGAATTTATTCTCTAGCTCTCGTCCACACAGTGAGTCTGATTTGTACAGTCTCCTGATGAAGTCCACTGTGTGGACGAGAGCTAGAGAATAAATTCTATATTGTTAGTCTCAAAAGTGCTGCTGTTATTTACTTTACAATTATACAAAACCTTCGACGCCCTTTGGTATCAAATGTAAAGTATGCTTCCGAAAGCTTTTCATTAGGCCAAAAAAAAAATAAATTGTTTAATTGCCCTTCTTTTTTTTAAATAAAAAAAAAAATTTTAATTTGTTTAAAAATACTCATCAAATGGAATAGAAATAACCCACAGAGGCCTAGAATGGCAATATTATACATCAGACAACAACTTCAGACTAATTTGTAGGGCATCTGCCAAAAAATAAAGATGAATTCACTCACATTTTTTTAAAATTTGTAAACAAAAAAGCTAAAAAAAACATTTTTTAAAGTTTTGTTGTTTTTCTGCCCCAATTTTTTCAGTGAATTAGGGGCGGGTGGAGGTAGGCAAACAAACAATTTCTTTTGCCTTAATTACATGTGCAGATGCATATTTTTTTTATAATTTGCATTGTAGTTGCACTTTTTGGACAGACATATTTTAAACAGTTCTTTAGTTCTGGTTTAATTTCAGATAATCAAATGCATTTAAGTTAGCCTTCTAGTTTTCTTACAATAACCCTCACCCATTAAAATACATCTTAATGAAATTATATTAATTAAATAATATCAATAAATGGATTAGGATGCAGAATGCAAAACGAAAAACAAACGCCAGCAAGCTAGCATGCAAATACCTGATTCTGGCATACCCTGTTGTTTTTGTATCCTTGACAACAAAACCTCTTTTGCTGACACAAAGAAAATTCTATCCTCTGCTTGCTGAGCCGTCACTACCTTCAACTCATTCACCAGGAAGTCCACAGCTCGTTCAAGATGCTGTTGCTTTACCTAGGAAAAATAAAATTTAAACCAATCAAAAGGGTTGTATTATATCATCATGGCAAGATACCTATCGTAGGCGCATGTGTTTATATTGTCTTACAGAAAAAAAACAAAAAAAAAACATCTTGGTATGAAACATCTAGGATTGTGAATATAGAATTTACTGATAAAATGAGTTCTAGAATTTTGTTATTTTCCTACGTTGATGAAAGATTTCAACCACCAGCATTATCTGAGAGAACACTCCTCAGCTAGCCTAACTTGTTTCACATATGGGGCTCGCCAAAAACCAGCATCAGAGACAAAAACATGAAATTGACTTTATTATTATAATCATATTCTCCATTATAAGCTTTAAAATGATCATTTACTGGAATCAATTTACTACTGCCAAAGTCATGTGTAAAAAAAAAAGTATTACGGCGTTTCTGTACTAAAGTTATGTAACATCCTTAATGCTTATTACTCAGTTTAACAATAAAGCTTGGTTTCCATACAATTACTACACGCTACCGCCAACAGCTTTCAGTGATGCTGATTGGTCGGTCGAATTGGGGAGCCTTCCCGAATGCATTGGGGAATGCTACGCAGTACAACGATTGCACTGAAAATACTGTCGCGACAGTGTAGCGATTTTAAGGAAACTAGGGCTTTAGTGAATTACGGTTTTAGGATGACATCCCTCGTACACCATGTGTTGTACTCACCGCATCCATGAATTCTGGTTCAGACGCTGCTGCATCCCAACGATTATTCAAGATAAATATATTTGGTTTCGACAATTTTTCACTAACTTTGTGGAAGAAACTTTTTTCCTATAAATTCAAAATATAATTTCAAATTAATATTTTTAATCCATGCATTCCAATATACAATAATTAGGAGGATAATGATAAGGATGAAGATGACCACAATGATCTTCTAGGTTTAAAGGAGTTAGATTTTTATTGTAATACAGTAAATTACACTTACATGCAATGAAATCTGTATGGCTAGAACTCAAACCTAGCGTGATGCACTTCACAGCTTGTCAATTATGCAAGCTGGGATTTTTAAGCATGGCCAGTCGAAAATATGCAGCGTGTGGTTTTAGCTCCCAAACTCAAAGTCAAGCATCACAGTGGAGACTGCTGCATCAAACTACCTTCCCCAAATCTGTTACAGTAACTGTTGCAGACTATTGTACATCTGCATAGCATATTTTACTTTTTGATGTTAAATTTTTCTGGAGGATTTACTTACAGTTCTCATAAGTGTTGACTCTGCATTGGACACCAGCACAAAGACATCAGCATCCATGCAATACTTATCAATCCATTCATCAAGACCAGTAGTCACATCTACACCAGGGCTATGGTATAATCAAAGATACTAGAAACACAAGATAGAGTTCTCCACACAAAAAAAGTGTTCCACCGTGTTCCACCGAAATGCATGGTGGGAATACGAAAAATTGGACGCCCCCTACAGCTGGATCTAAAAAAACTTGTGCCAAACTTTCGTTATCAAGTTGTCGCGTATTTTATTATCAATTCTCAACAAAGATACTAGATATAAAAACAAACTGGAATAGACACCCAGACAGTGACATCGGTGAATACATAATCTCCTTGGTGGCGGTAGAAATCGTTGCTATTATCCAAATAATACACAAAACAATTAAAGCATAATCATGAATCAGTAAAGAATAAAACAACAATACAGCGCAGAATCGCATTGCCGGACGCACTCTGAGTGAAAAAGTTTTCGCCATTAGTGGAAAAGGAAGGGCGCCTTTTGCGTCTGGATATACTTAGCAACAGAAGGGCGCCCTGTACGTTGGGCACGAAGTATAGGAAACTTGCATGGTTAAAAAGAAGGGCGCCGCCTACGTTGGGCACGACTTCCGCCTCATTTTTACAATGCGAGAACTCTATCTTGTATTTCTAGTATCTTTGGTATAATACAAAATATTTATGCACATACAGAGAAAGTCAGTTATGACAATTTTATATATCCCATAATGTATTACGTAGCATAATCCGTTATTTATGCATTGGTACAAACATTTTTTATTTTAGACCATAAACTTTGAATACAAATCAGGCTGTCTATTGCATTGTTTGGGGTGGAATATATATTGGGGTGGAGTATATACCTAGACTGGAAAATACTAATACTGTACTGCTCAACTCAAAATTGACTGGAATATGCAAGCAATTTTGGCAAAAAAGAGAGTCTTTGATCTTGGATCAAAATAACAAGCATTTTATAACATAACCATTTTTTTTTATAACCAAAAGACATACAAAGCAAACACATATTCTTTTTTCATAATGTCCATTACAATGCTTGTAATATTGTTGTTGTTGAAGACGAGTGCTCTGATCTTCATGAAATAGCGCTATATAAATGCTGTGATGTATGTAAGTATGATAATGATGATCTCCAGTAAAGTTGACAATGATGTTGTTTACAATTTTTATAAAGATTTTCATATTGATGATTGTGATTAAATGGAAGAGGCATACCTGTCCATTAGTACAACATCATTCTGCAGGAGATGACATCTGCTTTTTGGCCAGAAGACTCTGACCATGGAGCTCTGATCATTCAGGCTGTCACTAGACAGGGCATGGGCAATCTGGGTCACAGACTAAATTATAAAATAACACAAATAAACTTTGGTATACTAAAACATAATAGGGTGGATCCGAAATTTCTGAAAGGTGGTATACTAAAACATAATAGGGGCGAATCCGAAATTTCTGAAAGGGGGGGGGGGAAGGTGGGGGTAACGATCGAGACACAGCACTACCCTAGACTCCCAAAAATAACCTCTGAGGCATTTTGGGCAATTTCTTTTTTTTCTTTCTTTCCTTTTTTTTTTTACTTTCCAAAATGGGTGACCGGCTTGCCCCTCCTCCTAAATCCGCCCCTGAATGTACTATCAAGTAATTATTGTCAAGTTTTGCGGGTGTTAGTGAAAGAAACTGTAGAATCGGAAGAAGTCATTATTTCCTTAAAAAATGGCTTGACAAACATTTAGTTGCTACACACCGAACAGACCAACGTACGCGACAACAGTAATTGGTGTTTGTATGTCAAGATCCAGACAATAACTGCTTTATAAGTCAACTGCCTTGTGTCTCATGTAACCTGGTATAACCTAGGTTTTATTCATGTTCACCAATGCCATAGAGCAAAATTGGTTTCATTATTTCACAAATGTTAAAATTTTAGATTTATTTTGATGATCTATTCTGAAATTTCAGCTGTTTAATCCCTTATCGAAATGACTTCACACTTGGAAAGAGACTTTCTGGTTGCTGTTAAGGGGGTGACAACATCTTTTACCAACCCCAGGATCCATCCTTTTTATTGGGAAAACAATCTGTAATGGAAATTGTTGTAGAATGGCTCCAGTTGTTATTAATCCCTTACCTGAATGCTCTTCTCTTCTTCTGAGTCTGGTGTGATGATATAGGCCTCATCCCGGTTGCTGGCCTCTACACTTAAGAAGCAATCAGTTGTATGTCCAATACCTGTTGGTAGCACTTTGTCACGCATCATTGCATTTACAACAGTACTCTTACCGTTACTAGTTCTAAAAATAGAAAATGAGATGTAAACTTAATACAAACTAATACAATTTTTAAAAAAAAACCTTTTTGAAAACAAGCCTCCTTTTTCAATTGGCAAACTATTTGAGGTTTTACGATATATATGACGTTAAAATGCAACAAAGGAAGAAAAGAAAGTGATTTTTTAATAGCATGCCTGCAAATCAGTGTACCAGAGTATTAGGCCTCTTACAATTTCTCTGGAATGAGCTATCTTAACATATCCAACTATATTTTGCTGTGCACGTTAATATCCACCACCAGCTGACATCTGGGAGACAATTAATAATACAGTAGTGAAAAACATTGTGGGAGATGGGTTAGTTTCCAGGTGTTTTTTTTTTTTTTTTTGCTTACTTGCTGGACACGGTCTTGATTTCCGTGTGCAAACTAGCACGATTAATTGGCTTGAAGTTACTTTACCTGCCAAAGAAAGCCACTTTCATTTGGTCTCTGGCTAAAACTTCGGCAATGCAATCCACTTGCTGTGAAAAGCCAACAATTTTCTCTTTTTCCTCTGCAGTGATTATGGCTGCATCACCAGCTGAATCTATATTAAAAGCAAGAAAAACTCACTTTTGATGTAATGTGAAACATTGGAATCTACCTCAGAATTCAGGTAGTCTAAAGACTTGCTTACAGTTTGCAAAAAGATTACTAACAACATTTTTATGAGCAGCAACTATTCAAAGTTTAACTTTTTTTATATAACAAAAAAGGAGTAGTTGTCTTGAGGAAATAAAGATCTAACAACGTTGACATTATGTTAGGAAAGGAGGAAACAAATTTATAGCTTTGCTCACTGTTTGAAATGGCATGCTTTCAAAAGTATTACTGCACTAGCTACTTACATTTTATTACTCATTAGTATGTTCAGGAATGAATGTGAATGAACTTTGATAAAAGTTCTCAGAAACTTTGAAATATATAACTCAAAAATTAAAATTTATGTAAGCCTAACTTTTTTATGATTTAGTATACAATTTCTAATAAAAAAAATGTTTTCCTGGTGTCTGACATTACAAGAAAAAAAACCCTGAAATGTAAATAAAATGATATGAAATCCAATTTAATTCTAAAGAATATCCTGACTGTTGCTGTATAGTAAGGCTTGCGCGGGGAATATATCATCAGATCAAAAACTTGGCCTTGAAACCTGTAGGCACATTTGGAAAAACAAAGGCCGATTTCCAAACAAATTTTATCGAAAATGAGGCTTCGACCAAATCTTAATAATATATAACCAATAAAATTATTTCAGTAATTACGATTCCACGCACCTATTTTCCTAGCAATTTTCCGCGCAAATTTGATTTTTTAGATATCCTTTATGTAATAAAAAAAATATGGATGGGCCTGTTGTGAGGGTTAATAATCATTGCATCCTCTGTTCATTTACCTGAATTCACAAACTTCCTGCTGTCTTCTATGTGAGTATAAAGTCCATGGAATATTCCATTAATTTTCTTCTTTGCATCAACAAAAACCCTTAGTGGAGATGAAGCACGTTCCAACTCTTTAGCCACTTGTAATGAATTCGGCTGAGCCATTGAAGTTGCACGGTGAAACCTTCCTGACATTGCTCTAAAAACAACAAAATCATTCTGGATTTATATATACTACTGTAAAAATTAGTCAATTTTTCTGTTATGTTATGCACAGTTTGAAATGGAATAGGCCTATCACTAGGCTAAATTTGTTAGAATCTTCCTTTGGAAAAGAGAAAAAAAAACAAGAAAGAGGGGAAGAGAAAAAAAAATGTTATTTAATTAATGCACTGCATGATAACTCTAAAATAAAAAAGTGTTAATGTGTATTCGTCTCGTACGTATAAATTTTATCTTACAAACTAACTACCGCTTCCGCTAGCTAGGCCTAGGGCCTAGTCTAGGCCTACTAGACCTAAGAAGATAAGGATGGGCCTTGGCCCTTGCCTTGTTTGGTGAGAACGGTGACAGAGCCCTAGCTTAGGCTAGGGCCCTTGTGCCACATTTTTCAATGCAAGTCAATTTATGTTTGTTGCAATACTGAAATCAGAATAGAAGCAGATCCTACCATCGTAATAAAGTTTAAAAACAAACCATTTACCTTACAATAGGCACGTGCGCTAACTCGGTTTTCAGCCCTTTGAAACCTTTGAGATGCCCGGTTGGCTGGACCAGAGGCTACCACCAAAGAACTTAAATAACAGTTTTACATTACGTTCGGTGCTTTTTACATTACTGTCGGTGCTTTTAACATTACGTTCGGTGCTTTTTACATTACGTTCGGTGCTTTTACATTACGTTCGGGGATTTTTACATTACGTTCGGTGCTATGCTTTTTACATTACGTTCGGTGCTATGCTTTTTACATTACGTTCGGTGCTTTTTACATTATGCTCGGTGCTTTTTACATTACGTTCGGTGCTTTTATTAACATTACATTTGGTGCTTTGAAATATTACGTTCGGTGCTTTTATCATTACGTTCGGTGCTTTTGCCACACTTATGGATCTTTTATCATTTGGTGCTTTTTAGTTTTACGTTTCGGCCCTTGGAAAGCACCGAATGATAAAAGAACCGTGCGTAATGATGAAAGGGCCGAAAGGTAAAAGCATCAAATGATAAAAGAGCCGAAGCGCGCCAAAAGCACGGATCGTAATATTAAAAACACCGAACGTAATGTTCAAAGCACCGAACGTAATGTAAAGCACCGAACGTAATGTTAAAACCACCGAACGTAATGTAAAAATCACCGAACGTAATGTAAAAAGCACCGAACGTAATGTAAAAGCACCGAACGTAATGTAAAAGCACCGAACGTAATGTTAAAAGGGCCGAATAGCAAATGCGCCGAACGGAAAAGAGCCGCCAAAGGCAGTAACGGCGTTCCATAAGAATGAGCTGCTCCGAGTATTTGCATTAAAATCGATGGAACATTCGCCCTCCTGCGGTTGCAGTAAAATTTGTACATTTTAGTAAGTGGAGAAACTAAAGGAAACAAGCAAACAAGAGCAGCGCCTTTATTATTTTTATATAGCGCCGCCGTGCGGTTGCAGTAAAATTGCTCTCCATGTACCCACAATGCCTTTTGAACCGATGTTCCACTATAATATTGGGAAGCTGCTCTATCTTTAGACTTGCCACAAGTCTCTTATTTTTCTCATTCTGGACAGCGCCACCAACGAGAAAGTTAATTTAGAGACAAGATAGCGTTCTCCGCGATTTACGCGTAACAAATAGAAGCGGCGGTCAAGGTTCAAAAGTTTCCAATTTAGCAAGAGGGCGCCATTCATGCGTTATTACAGAATTTGCACGCGTAAATCCCGGAGAAGCAAGCTTTACTTCTGTTAAATATTATGAAATATAATGCAAAACAAATCTGTCGAGGTCAATTTAATTTGCATACGGGTTCGTAGAAGGCCACGAGGCAAAGGCTGCATTCCACGCGTGCTCGGGACGCGATTTTTTTTTCCGTACGAAACATTTACATGAAACTCCACTCGGGCCGTCTCGGCTGAATCGACCCGAAAATCTCATTGCAGAATTCAGGAGGTCAAAAGGTCATCGACAGATAAACGTCTACAGAACAACTTCGGAGAGAATGTCGCTGTCTAATTTTTTAAAAATACATTGATGTTACCGTGTTAATACCAATGGGTCGTTTAAAATGACATATAATATTTGATTAAGCTGCACGAGTAATGAAAAGTGTTATTTTAACTTGAGTTACATACTATGAAAATTTTTATTTTTTAGTTAGGCCTGGGTTTTGCATAATTACCTAGGCCTACTAAAAACGCTTTCTGGGAAAAGCACAAAGAGTAAGGAAAAGTTTTTCTTCATCTGATCAAATGAAACAGAATGACAGTTATTTTCAAATTAAGAGAAGAGCTGAGAATAGGCAGCTCTAAAATACTGGATGCCATAAGACCTGCCAAAATTGCAAAACATCAAATGAATGTAAAAATGAGCTAGTTATTAATATTAGGCATAGTAATCGGCAGGTTCTTGTTACAAGGCTAGACCAAGTTAATTACATGTAATGCCGAAATGATGATGATGATGATAATAATAATAATAATAATAATAATAATTATTATTATTATTATTATTATTATTATTATTATTATTATTATTATTATTATTATTATTATTATTATTGTTGTTGTTATTATTATTATTACCTGTACGTTAAGGGGAACTTAGACAAAGGGGAAATAACACAAAAAATATTCCCCTTGGGTTAGTTATTATTTATAGGCCTAGTAAATAGTATCTGTAGGTTCTTCATTTCAAGCCTTAGGCCAAGGTAATTATATGCTGAAAGGATTATTATTATTATAATTATTATTACAGTATTATTATTATTATTATTATTATTAATTATTATTACCTGTACTTTAGGGGGAACTTAGACAATGGAGGAATTAGAGAACAATTTAAAAAACGACGTTAAGGGGAAATAACAAAGATATTCCCCTCAGGGCGATTATTATTTATAGGCCTAGTAAATAGTACAGTATCTGTAGGTTCTTCAAGCCTTAGGCCAAGGTAATTAATGCTGAAATGATTATTATTATTATTATTTTATTATTATTATTATTATTTAGCATTAATTACAATGATAGTTTGGACAAGTTCAATAACGCCGGAATGGTATATTATTTATTTATGCGCTCTATTTTTCATTTCATGCTTCAATTTTGTCCCATTTTTCCCCCCAAAATGTCAGTCCATGTCAGTATGTGAAGCGTGACTGTTGTGTCTGCCTGACCCTAGGCCTAGTTTAAGGAGGGGCCTAGGTAAGACCTCAGCCTGTAGTTAGGCCTATAGTTTATCCTCTTTCTCTCTAACCTTTGGTATAACTGTACCTATCTACACTGTATAACAGGAGGTACTAGCTGTTGTTGTTGCAGATATATACTAACATCCAAGAAGGTCACAGTTAGTTACACAGTGACGTACATCACATAAGTCCGTGAAATCTCATAGGCCTACCGTAGGTAAACATAGAAAGAGCAATAATAGTAAAACTCGAGCGTCACGACATTGCGAAGTGTCTGCTCTTGTTCCTCGTGTCGTACTCACTCGAGTCAATCCGAGATGGCCCGAGTGAAGTTTCATGCAAATGTTTCGTACGGAAAAAAAAATCGCGCTCGGGACATTCCGTTCTGAATGTCACTTGTGCTTCATTTTGTCCCTATTTCCCCCAGTCATTTAGCTTTCCAAATTACATCAGTTGACATTTATTAACTTTAAGTATTATTTTGATCGGAATATTTTAGAGTTCAATCATCTTGGTTTCCATAAATGACATCATCTCCAGGGGCGGATCCAGAGATGTCCAAAAGGGGGGAACCGAAATTTGGGCCGATTGAGACAACAATGTCCTGGGGGTCAAATTTTTGTGTTCTAGACGCCCGAAAATAACATTTGAGGCGTTGTGGGCTATCATTTTTTTCTTTTTCTTTCTTTTTTTCTTTTTTTTCCCCTTTTTTTTAGCTTCCAAAAGGGGGCCGGGCCGCCCCACCCCCTAAATCAGCCCCTGATCTCCCTGAT